CACACACACACACACACACACACAGACACACACAACAGGCCCCCCTGTTCCCATGGTTCGATTCCCGGCGGAGGCAGAAACAAATTTCTTTCACCCGACTCCTCCTTTCTTTTAGAAGTAAATAGGTACCTGGGAGTTAGACAGCTGTTACGATCTGCGTCCTAGGAATGTGTGTGTGTGTGTGTGTGTGTGTGTGTGTGTGTGTGTGTGTGTGTGTGTGTGTGTGTGTGTGTGTGTGTGTGCGCGCGTGCGAGAGAGATACATGTATCAGGCATGATATTTGAGAAATAGGACAGGGGGGGGGTCAGTACATTAAACAACCGACGGTCAAGAAGCCCTAAGAGCTAACAGCTCGATCCTACAGGCACAAACATAAAATACAAATAGTAGACACACAAGTGTGTATATATATATACAGTTATACAGTGACGCAGAATACAATGATATACTGTGAAGTGTTACAAAAGTCTCTTGCGCCTCAATGTGTGTTTCCAGTTACTAAATATGTATAAGCTCTTGTCCCATGAACTACCCTCAATAATGCCAGATCTCTGGAGACACTCTAGAGAAAACCTCTTATTATTATCCCTGTCCTTGGTCGCCCATATTGGATGCTCCTCCCATTTACCTAAAAAATTTCTTTGAAATTACGCCGTTTTCTAGCTTTCCAGCATTTCTCTATATGTTTTTTTTATATATATGTAATATTTTTAAACATCCTTCAATTTAAGATGTTCTCCACAGTAGCGTGGATGATAAATTTTCTTTCCCTATCGGAGATTCGAACTCAGGCCATAAGAATTCTAGACCAATTTTCCTACCAGCCAAGCTATGGGGACTCATAATGTGAAATAATCTCAGTAGTTCCTAAATGGCACAACAACTGAGACTTTAAACCTTCCCTTTAGTACCCCCTAAGGTATCGTGAGTAATCAACCTCTTTATCGTCTTACACACACTTAAAAACAATCGTCAAAATACTCTCAAGTTAATTAAATATTACAGGGATCCCTTATACTATGTTACAGGGAACCCCTATACTATGTTACAGGGATCCCTTATACTATGTTACAGGGATCCCTTATACTATGTTACAGGGATCCCTTATACTATGTTACAGGGATCCCTTATACTATGTTACAGGGATCCCTTATACTATGTTACAGGGATCCCTTATACTATATTACAGGGATCCCTTATACTATGTTACAGGGATCCCTTATACTATATTACAGGGATCCCTTATACTATGTTACAGGGATCCCTTATACTATATTACAGGGAACCCTTATACTATGTTACAGGGAACCCTTATACTATGTTACAGGGAACCCTTATACAATATTACAGGGAACCCTTATACTAAAACACGAACGGTCTCGGATCGTCGCGGCAAGCAGCAAGCAAGCCTGGTGTTGCTTGGAATAATCAAGCAGATATTCAAAGCACGCTTTATCAGCATAATAATTGTCACCTGTCATGGTAATATGATTCCCGCTGATCATGCAGCTCCCGCCGAGGCATATATCATGCTAATTTCACGTTCACACTCAGGAGATGCGGTTGTGCGTACAAGCAGAAAATCTATTTGGGAATCATGGATTGAAAAGAGAGAGAGAGAGAGAAATTGAAGCTAATATTAAAATCCATGCAGTCGAGTGCCTCCATTGGTCACACGCATCCCCCTTCACTAGCCTCCTTACCTTGAGGTTACCTTGAGGTGCTTCCGGGGCTTAGTGTCCCCGCGGCCCGGTCGTCGACCAGGCCTCCTGGTTGCTGGACTAAGCCCCGGAAGCACCTCAAGGTAACCTCAAGGGCCGGCCTCACGTCCGCCACCCTTACTAACCTCACGTATCTCTTTCAAACCTCACGCACCCTTACCGCTAACCTCATCACATCAGTGCGCATCATAACGGCTCCTCATCGAGCCGCCTCACTGGGCGAGACAACGGACTCCGCCTGCCATGTGTGCCGTCGGCTTGTGGCGCCGACGGCACCACCCCGGCAGCTGAGACCACCAGAGACTCCGGCAAGGGGGATTGATCTCCGAGAACACCATGAGGGGTTAGCTGTCTCTGCAAGCCATTCTGCACACCCTCCCTTCCTGCGTCACCTGTCACCCCTGCGTCACCTGCCACCCTGCGTCACCTGTCACCCTGCGTCACCTGCCACCCTGCGTCACCTCCTACCTGTTCCACCAGCCACCTTGCGTCACCACACATCAATCATCGGGGATATTAACCACGATAGAATGGGACTGGGAACTAAGAAGCCGATAGAGAGGAAAGGGAACATGTAGAAGAGAGCTGTTAGAATCAACTGTGATGAACTTTATTATTCAGTAAGCTGGGGGAGGAAATGATGTAAAGAGAGGATTTTTTAGTCAGTCAAATTAGGCCTGATCCTTACACAGAATGCAGCAGGTTACACTAAGTGGCAGCAGATTGCTGTAAGTGGCAGACGTCCAATTTCTGTCCGCTTGTCTACATGGCAGATATCCAGTTTCCCGTCGTCTTGTCTATGTGCAGACATTCAAATTTCTATCAGCTTGTCTATCTGGCAGACCTACAGTTTCTGTCGCCTTTTCTCTGTGGCAGACTCCCAGTCTCTGTCATCTTTAGTCGGGGGAAGAGAGGAGGGGGAGGCAGACTCCCATTTCTGTCGTCGTGGCTAACGATAATCGTCTTCCAGTTCACAGGAAATGATGCACAAGTCTTCGTGTCAAGAATCACGAATGGTTGAGCACGGCGGGTAAGGCCCCCACACACACACATCACCCTGCCCTCACCGTCTTCCCGGAACGGTTATTGTCCTGCAATACACGTCCAGGGCGTGAAAGCGCATAGCCAGGCCTGGCCAGGAATAAGATTAAGGGAGAGTCGTATCTAGCACGTCTTGCCAAGGCTGAATTGATACGTAGGAGGCACGTATGTGTCATATCTCACCAGGGAGGGGGAGGGGGAGGAATTTAATATTGGTGCCCACATGTCCGCCAGGGCTAAGAGAGACGAGAAACGTAGTTACGTGAGGCCGCGACTTGTTCAGAGTCAGATATCGATGGAGTAATTTGCCCCGTCAGGAAAACCACGGGATATGTTTATTACCTAAAAAGTTCCACTGATGCCGCTATATAGGTGTACCTTTACCGGTGTAACTCCTTCCAGTTGTACCTCTCGTCAACTGTTCCTCTCATAAAGTGTTCCTTTCGTCAAGTGTTCACCTGGACCAGTATAGCGTGAACAATGAACACGTTCACGGACCACTAAGCTCCAAAATTATCTGGAGACATCAAAGATCATTGTTCAGTGTGTACATCTCTGGTTGGGTCTCCCTTCCTCATCCACGTTGGGTGTGAAATCATCTTCGCCGAGGGTGCTCAAGGGCAGGTTGTGAGACAGTATTCCGATTCGGGCCTTGGAGGGGCCACTCATTGAGTCAGATCTAGGAGGGGTCACCCACTGAGTCAGATCTAGGAGGGGTCACCCACTGAGTCAGATCTAGGAGGGGTCACCCATTGAGTCAGATCTAGGTGGGGTCATCCACTGAGTCAGATCTAGGAGGGGTCACCCATTGAGTCAGATCTAGGAGAGTGATCCACTGAGCCAGATCTAGGAGGAATCACCCACTGAGTCAGATCTAGGAGGGGTCACCCACTGAGTCAGATCTAGGAGGGGTCACCCACTGAGTCAGATCTAGGAGGGGTTACCCACTGAGTAACCCACTGAGTCAGATCTAGGAGGGGTCACCCACTGAGTCAGATCTAGGAGGGGTCACCCACTGAGTCAGATCTAGGAGGGGTCACCCACTGAGTCAGATCTAGGAGGGGTCACCCACTGAGTCAGATCTAGGAGGGGTCACCCACTGAGTCAGATCTAGGACGGGGTCACCCACTGAGTCAAGCTAAGAAGTAGTCAGGACCTCCTTACATTCCTCTCGAAGTCTTGCCAAACATGTTATGACAAAACTTTATACAGAACATCTCTGCAGTGTTGCCAAGTAAGTCATGGCAAAACTTTGCACAGAATCCTTCTGCAAAATTGCTAAATGCATTCGCGAATGTCTTGTGATATTTCCCAGACAATCATTGACAGCCAATTTCGGTCGAATATAACACATATTCCACTGAAAACTGAAAAAAGTATCTCCCGAAGAACTACCTTTACTTTATTGCGTTTGAAAAATAAAATTTTGACGGAAATGAAAGATGTATTCCTGTAAAAAAGTCCAAACTATTTTCACAGTTCTCGAAATATACCCAATGCAGTGTTATAAAACTTACTGTGGGTAAATTTTATTTATATATTACGCTAGTAATATGATAGGAGGCCTGGTCGACGACCGGGCCGCGGGGTCGCTAAGCCCCGGAATCACCTCAGTGTAGAATGATAGCAGACTGGTAAGGCCAGGATTTCTGATAACAAGCAGGTAAGGGGCACAGGGATCTATGATGAAATGCTGGTTAGGACAGCTGTAAGGAACGTGGTGGGATGCAAGAATGATCAATTAATGTAGCATGATTAGAGGCGGGTATAGGGACAGGAGGAGGGGCGGGCGGACGCTGAGGCCCCTGAAAGTTACCGTGACACAAACTTTGTGTCTTAGGGACGACTTTGGGATAACTTAGCGACAACGTCGTCGTATTAGCCTCAGCTGGCGCTCAAATATTAACAATTGTGTGTGTGGCATGTTTGAGTTGGAAACACCATAGTCCTGTAAGGTGTTTATAAAATTATATAAATATCTATGCGATCAATAACACGAACATATATTGAAATAATAATAATAATAATAATAATAATAATAATAATAATAATAATAATAATAATAATAATAATAATTAAATAAAAATAATAATAATAATGGTAAAAACATTGTCTTCAAAGTTTCTACGTTACGATTATTTCCAGTTCATCCTATGACTGTAACTTCCTCGATCTTCCAGTACTTCGATCTTTCAGTACCTCGATCTTCCAGAAAAGAAAACCTTCATCATTTCTCACAATCTGGTGGCCTCTGGAAAACATCTGTGGCCATCTCGGTATGTTTAAGCTCTACCACAGATATAATATAAAGATCTATCTCGCAGGTTCTTTGAATTAACTCACTCGCTTTGTTGGAGATACCTTCGGCATTTGTGTACCTGACATTTAAGACTCTTCTTGGTTATTATAAAGAATTCCGTTTTGAGTGCTAAGGTAGGCTGGGGTAGGAAAAGAGAAATAGGATAATGAAGAGTTGATAAAATTGATGGGGAAAATTGGATAATGAAAATAAGGAATAAGAGGAGGCCGAGAATGAAATAGAAAGGGAGTGGAGTATTAGTATGAGCAATTGGAGGCAGAAAATTATACGGGCGAAGAAGAACGAGGAGATGAGAACATGGAGGAAGAGAGGGGGAAGAGGCACAAGGAAAATTACAGAAAGGAGATGGAAATGAAAAGAGAACGAGGAGAATCCGCAACAGAAGGAGTGGAAAAAGGGGGGGGGGGAGGAAGAGTGTCAAGAGAAAAGAGTGGAGGTGACGAGAATTAGTGAGAGCAGAAGGGAAGATGGGTGACGTTAGTGTGAGTGAGAGATTGATGCCCGCCAAACACACACCGAAACTACGACGTTGGTACAACGTTCGAACAAGTTTTAACACTTCCTAACCAGTTATAACAACCAATATAGCCAGTTGTAACAACGTTCTAATACGTCATAAACACGTTAAGCCAAGATGTAACAACTTTATTACAAGTTGTAACCAGCGGAAAATAGAGACAGTTTCGGTTTGTGCTTCCACATGAGGAGAGCGAGGAGGCGGAGACGGATGATAAGTAGCCAGAGAAACGGGGCTAAGACGAGGAGGAGGAAGAGGAGGAGGAGGAGATGAAGGAAGTGTAGAGTTGAGCGAAGTGGAGGAGAGTCCTCCATGTGAGGGGGTAAAACAGGGCGCCAGGAGTGAGGGACGAAGTTGAAAGTGCAGTTAATGGAGCTGTGTATTCACCTAGTTGTATTCACCTAGTTGTGTTTGCGGGGGTTGAGCTTTGCTCTTTCGGCCCGCCTCTCAACTGTCAATCAACTGTTTACTAACTACTTTTTTCCCCCCACACCACACATACACACACACCAGGAAGCAGCCCGTGACAGCTGACTAATTCCCAGATACCTATTTACTGCTAGGTAACAGGGGGCATTCAGGGTGAAAGAAACTTGGCCCATTTGTTTCTGCCTGGTGCGGGAATCGAACCCGCGCCACAGAATTACGAGTCCTGCGCGCTATCCACTAGGCTACCAGGCCCCCATGTGTGTGTGTGTGTGTGTGTGTGTGTGTGTGTGTGTGTGTGTGTGTGTGTGTGTGTGTGTGTGTGTGTGTGTGTGTGTGTGTGTGTTCGCGTGCGTGCGTGCATGCGTGTGTGAGTGTGTGCGTGCATGTGTATGTGAGTGTGTGCGTGCGTGTGTATGTAAGTGTGTGCGTGCGTGTGTATGTGAGTGTGTGCGCGTGTGTATGTGTTTATGTGCGTTTCTTTGTTTCCTTTAATAATAAATATAAAGAATGTTCGTCCAAACCCAATCCTGATCTAATACTTTTCCTCAAGCACTTCCCTCTCGTCTTAAAAGATTTACAATGATGCTTGGTACCAACATGCCGATCATCCTCTCAGAAGGAACCTGTAGAAATGCCTATTACATGCTACCGTCATCGTTTAAAAAAAAAAAAACACTTTTGAGAAGAATACTTAGTGTCAAAACATTCCCACTTAATGTTCAAATTTACTTCAATATCCTGATAAATTAAGACGTCAGGTTACAAGAAACGAGAAGACGCAGGTCCAGAAGTGCTGCTGCTGTGTCGTGGCGCATTAGTATGTTTTGCTTGTTGGGGTTTTCTATGAATACATTTTCCGAGAAAGAGCGAGTCGCTATAAATATTAATGAGGGAGAGAGAGAGAGAGAGAGAGAGAGAGAGAGAGAGAGAGAGAGAGAGAGAGAGAGAGAGAGAGAGAGAGAGAGAGAGAGAGACAGGGAGGGAGAGAGAGAGAGGTAGGGAACACATGAAAGGTAGGGAGAGGTAGGGAAGCTGGGGAGGGAGTGGGGGGATAGATGTAGGGTAGAAAGGATAATTGTTTACCGCAATAAAGGCAGCATAAAGTGAAGAGTCCAGAGCTCCTTGCCAGCCATAAAGACAAGAGAGCTAACTAACTTGGGCATAACACAAGGAATTATCTGGCTCAAACGTTTGCTTATAAAACAGTTGAGTCAGATGTAACATGAATGCATTGGTATAGAATATTTACCACATAACTTTAATCTATATCCGATATTATCTGTTAACAAGAGAAGGTAAGTGAGTTGATATTTTTCACCGTTATCACAGAACGACTGGCGGAATATTAAAATATTTTCATGTAAAATTCGAGTTTGCCGTGTAGTGATGCGAGTCACAGATGTGGAGAATGCCGAAGACAGCTTTCACTGCAGCTGCGTGAAGGCGTGACAGGTGTAAAGGACGCTGAAGACAGCTGTCACTGCAGTAGAATACTAAATACAGGCAGTACCGGCCAAGATGTAATAAACTTACACTTAAATGTGGGTAGAAGAGTCCGCAGACTTAATACCTCCAGCCGTGCTAGGCAGAGAGAGAAGGAAATGGTTGTGGAATAATAAAGTCGAGGACACTAATAAAACACACCCACGGATCTTATATGGCCGGACGTTAGACCAGCAATGTCTGGCCTTAGCATTGTAACTGTTACTCCAGGTTTGATCTGTGATTTTTGGACGTGATATCATGATCACTTCTAATGGGGCCTTCAAACATTATTATTGAATTGGCTTTTGCCCAGCAGGACCGACTAGCTAAATACGATGTTTATAATAAATTTAATTGACGGACATGCAAATGTTACTGAGAGGTTTAAGTATGATTTGATGTTTAATATGCAAATTAGCTAAATCACACACCAACTACTTCAAGTTACTTTGTTATGAATTTTTTTTTGTTTCTCATTTATTCTTTGATATATAAGAGAACAGGTTCAATAAAAAGAGAGAACATCTTCAGCTGGGGGTCTGCACGTCTAATGCATGGGGACTTTTACGTCTAATTTATTGAAGACTCTAAGTCTAATGTATAGGAGTCTGCGAACCAGTTCATCATTTTTCATGTCCTTGAAAATGCAGTCAGCCAGTTGTTGGAGTCATGCGAGTTACAGCGGGTTATCTTCCCTTCTTATGCTCAATATATGTTTATGAAGGATACTGTACGAGTCTGTAGCCTTATCTTAAATTACTCGAGATTGGAACGATCCCTGAAATGTGTTTCTTAATTGCATGATTTGAGGAGAGATTTTATATTTATTTCTAGGTATATCGTCGCGTCCCCAAGTGAAGCACTTAGATTCATGATTTACGTCTTCAATGGGTCGCTTATGGTCATTTCTTATAAAATGGTAATGTTTATCTAATTAGTGTCGAACGATCATAAGTGTTATTTGCGACCTAATGGTTAAGACTATTTTTGTATAATTCTAATTACCAAAATACTTGTCGACAATTCATATTTTGGAATATGAATTGAGAATTTGGCTGGTAGGGAATTATAGTCTTAAACCTTGAAAAGTGCATTTCAAGCACTTATGACAGACAATTAAGGAAACTGAGCACCGAGATTTTGGATTCAGTATATTTTCCGACTACAGTGACTTGAAGGTAATATTGTATCAGTGTACAACGCAAGCACATTATATCTCACCCTCGGCAGTGACTCTTGAGTAATTCTTTACGTTCTTTAGAACGTAAGATGACAACAGAATACTGAAATTAATTTCACATACTCATTAAGCTGACTTCACAAATATTACTCATTAATCACATAGACATCACATAAACTAATCCTGAAGTTGAGTCCACATACACTATCTCTGAAGTTGAGTCCACATACACTATCTCTGAAGCTGCCTTCTAATACAATACTTCTGAAGATCTCATGAGTGTGTTGCATACATTTAATGTTACTAGTACAGCTGATTTGTAACGGCTGATGCAGCTGACTTGTAGCGGCTGGTGCAGTTGATTTGTAAAGGCTGGTGCAGCTGACATGTAACGGCTGGTGAAGCTCCCTTGTAACGGCTGGTGCAGCTGCCTTGTAACGACTGGTGCAGCTGCCTTGTAACGACTGGTGCAGCTGATTTGTAACGGCTGATGCAGCTGACATGTAACGGCTGGTGAAGCTGCCTTGTAACGGCTGGTGCAGCTGATTTGTAACGGCTGGTACAACTACCTTGTTATTTTCAGTGCAGCTGTCTGATAAATATTGCAGCAGCTGCCTTCTTGCTGTTACTGTACATGACCTGGTAATATAGGTGGAAATATATGATCGGTGTTAAACAGCAATTGTTATCAGTGGCGGAACATTTCGTGTTTATATAAATGCCAATTTATCTAACCGGAAACACTGAATGAAATCAGCATTTAACTGGTTATCATTGCTGGCATTTCACCTAACTTATACATGCATACTTAGATCCATACATACTTTACATATATACATGCATATGAATGTGTAAATACATACGTACTTTCAAACAACCAGTTTCTTAACTTTTAACAAGTTTCGAGTATAATTATAAGGCCCAACAGTTAAGTTAATGGAAATTGTATTATATTGTTAAACTTGATCCTGTAGCAGGCGCTTGGGAGTCTGTCGCAAGCGCTTGAGGGCCAGTAGCAGGCGCTTGAGGGCCTGTAGCAGACGCTTGAGGGCCTGTAGCAGACGCTTGAGGGTCTGTAGCAGACGCTTGAGGGCCAGTAGGAGACGCTTGAGAGCCTGTAGCAGACGCTTGAGGGCCAGTAGCAGACGTTTGAGGGCCTGTAGCAGACGCTTGAGGGCCTGTAGCAGATGCTCGAGGGCCTGTAGTAAACGCTTGAGAGTCTGTAGCAGACGCTTGAGGGCCTGTAGCAGACGCTTGAGGACCTATAGCAGACGCTTAAGGGCCTGTAGCAGACGCTTGAGGGCCTGAAGCAGACGCTTGAGGGCCCCGTAACAGACGCTTGAGGGCCCTGTAGCAGATGCTCAAAGACCTTTAATATGCCTCAGTAATCCAATTATGAACTCGTAAAATAAAGAGTTAGTGGGATTAATCTGGAAACCATTAGTGGAACCTCAATTGCTCTCCAACCTGGAGCGCTCTGCGGTCTGCCCTAACACTGCATTATCCTCACTGTATTGTTACCTCACAGTTAGTTACCCCTGAGGGTAGTTACCTCGCAGACTATAGTTACCTCATTGGAGAGTTATTTTACAGGGTAGTTACATCACAAGATAGCTGCTTCACGTGGTAGTTACCTCATATAGGAACTATCTCACACGGTTGTTATCTAACGGGGTAGCTAGAATATTTAGTCGTTGGTTATCACTGGTTGTGGGGCTGGAGGCAGTTGGTGGTGAGAGGTGAAGGATTTAGACGATTTTCCTCGTCGATGGTAAAGCAGCCAAGAATATGGACTGCCTGGCTGGTATACACACACACACACACACACACACACCAAGGAGGCAGAACACTCACCAAGGAGGCGATTTGAGAAGGGACAGAAGAAAGTGAGCCTCAAAGCGATGTACACTAACATAGATGGAATTACAAATAAAGCAAATGAGCTTGGAGAACTGGTACTAGAGGAAAACCCAGACATAATAGCCCTCACAGAAACAAAGATCACGAAAACAATAACAAATGCAGTGTTTCCACAGGACTATTATGTTATGCGGAAAGAGAGGGAAGGAAGAGGTGGGGGTGGTGTAGCTCTGCTGGTAAGAAAAGGCTGGGATTTTGAGGAGATGGATATTCAGGGCTGTGAAGGTTTCAGTGACTACATAGCAGGTGCTGTAACAAATGGAGGGAAAAAAATTATAGTCGCAGTCATATATAATCCACCACCAAATGACAGAAGACCTAGACAGGAATATGATAGAAACAACATGGCCACCATTAACATAATAGAAAGAGCAGCTTCTGTTGCTAGCAGGAATGGATCTGGACTACTAATTATGGGAGACTTCAACCATGGGAAGATAGATTGGAAGAACAGAGACCCGCATGGAGGACCAGAAACATGGAGAGCTAAGCTGCTGGACGTGGCAACAAGAAACTTTCTAAGCCAGCATACCAAAGAGCCAACAAGAATGAGAGGAGAAGATGAACCAGCAATGCTTGATTTGATATTTACCCTAAATGAATGGGATATAAGGGAAGTTAAGATGGAAGCGCCCTTGGGAATGAGTGACCACAGTGTATTGAACTTTGAGTACCTGGTAGAGCTAGGACTTATCTCCCCCCAAAAGGAACTAGGAAACAAAAGGCTGGCATACCGAAAGGGGAATTATGAACAGATGAGAAGTTTCCAAAGTGAAATACCTTGGGACACAGACCTCAGAGACAAGTCTGTACAGGGTATGATGGACTATGTTACCCAAAAGTGTCAGGAGGCAGTAAACAGGTTCATCCCGGCCCAAAGGGAAAAATCCGAGAAGCAACAAAAGAATCCATGGTATAATAGGGCATGTATGGAAGCGAAGAAACTGAACAAGAAGGCGTGGAGGAACTTCCGGAATAACAGAACACCAGAAAGCAGGGAGAGATACCAGAGAACCAGGAATGAGTACGTCAGGGTGAGAAGAGAAGCAGAGAAAATTTTTGAAAATGATATAGCAAACAAAGCCAAGACCGAACCAAAGCTACTCCACAGTCACATCAGAAGGAAAACAACAGTGAAAGAACAGGTATTGAAACTTAGAACAGGCGAGGACAGGTATACAGAGAATGACAGAGAGGTGTGTGAGGAACTCAACAAGAGGTTCCAGGAGGTCTTCACAATAGAACAGGGTGAGGTCACTGTGCTAGGAGAAAGGGAGGTAAACCAGGCGGCCTTGGAGGAGTTCGAAATTACGAGAGAGGAGGTCAAGAGACACCTGCTGGATCTGGATGTTAGAAAGGCGGTTGGTCCAGATGGGATCTCACCATGGGTACTGAAAGAGTGTGCAGAGGCACTTTGCTTGCCACTCTCCATAGTGTATAGTAAATCACTAGAGACGGGAGACCTACCAGAAATATGGAAGACGGCGAATGTGGTCCCAATATACAAAAAGGGCGACAGACAAGAGGCACTGAACTACAGGCCAGTGTCCTTGACTTGTATACCATGCAAGGTGATGGAGAAGATCGTGAGAAAAAACCTGGTAACACATCTGGAGAGAAGGGACTTCGTGACAAATCGCCAACATGGATTCAGGGAGGGTAAATCTTGCCTTACAGGCTTGATAGAATTCTACGATCAGGTGACACAGATTAAGCAAGAAAGAGAGGGCTGGGCGGACTGCATTTTCTTGGATTGTCGGAAAGCCTTTGACACAGTACCGCATAAGAGGCTGGTACATAAGCTGGAGAGACAGGCAGGTGTAGCTGGTAAGGTGCTCCAGTGGATAAGGGAGTATCTAAGCAATAGGAAGCAGAGAGTTACGGTGAGGGGTGAGACCTCCGATTGGCGTGAAGTCACCAGTGGAGTCCCACAGGGCTCTGTACTCGGTCCTATCTTGTTTCTGATATATGTAAATGATCTCCCGGAGGGTATCGATTCATTTCTCTCAATGTTTGCGGACGATGCTAAAATTATGAGAAGGATTAAAACAGAAGAGGACTGTTTGAGGCTTCAAGAAGACCTAGACAAGCTGAAGGAATGGTCGAACAAATGGTTGTTAGAGTTTAACCCAACCAAATGTAATGTAATGAAGATAGGTGTAGGGAGCAGGAGGCCAGATACAAGGTATCATCTGGGAGAGGAAATTCTTCAGGAGTCAGAGAAGGAAAAAGACTTGGGGGTTGATATCACGCCAGACCTGTCTCCTGCAGCACATATCAAGCGGATAACATCAGCGGCATATGCCAGGCTGGCCAACATACGAACGGCATTCAGAAACTTGTGTAAAGAATCATTCAGAACTTTGTATACCACATATGTCAGGCCAATCCTGGAGTATGCAGCCCCAGCATGGAGTCCATATCTAGTCAAGGATAAGACTAAACTGGAAAAGGTTCAAAGGTTTGCCACCAGACTAGTACCCGAGCTGAGAGGTATGAGCTACGAGGAGAGACTACGGGAATTAAACCTCACTTCGCTGGAAGACAGAAGAGTTAGGGGGGACATGATCACCACATTCAAGATTCTGAAGGGGATTGATAGGGTAGATAAAGACAGTCTATTTAACACAAGGGGAACACGCACAAGGGGACACAGGTGGAAACTGAGTGCCCAAATGAGCCACAGAGATATTAGAAAGAACTTTTTTAGTGTCAGAGTGGTTAATAAATGGAATGCATTAGGGGGTGATGTGGTGGAGGCTCACTCCATACACAGTTTCAAGTGTAGATATGACAGAGCCCGATAGGCTCAGGAATCTGTACACCTGTTGATTGACGGTTGAGAGGCGGGACCAAAGAGCCAGAGCTCAACCCCCGCAAACACAACTAGGTGAGTACAACTAGGTGAGTACACACACACACACACACACACACACACACACACACACACACACACACACACACACACACACACACACACACACACACACACGTCCATTCGAAGGTCACGTGAATAGTTCCCAAAATTAACGTCAAAGGCACATACCGCTTAATCACCGAGGCTTGGAGTGAAAAGAGAGAGAGAGAGAGAGAGAGAGAGAGAGAGAGAGAGAGAGAGAGAGAGAGAGAGAGAGAGAGAGAGAGAGAGAGAGAGAGAGAGAGAGAGCGAGAGAGAGAGAGAGAGAGACATTCAGCTTCCATACTGTAGATCCTCAGTGCCCAACTCATGTCATGAGCGACCGAGTGAACAACAATACTGAGAGACGTTGAGAGGTGTGTCGGCACAAGGCTGTAAGGTCCAAGGCGGACCCGTCAAGAAGGACCTAAAGTCCGTAGATTACCATACTAAATGACAAGGTGTACTCACCTAGATTAAATCGCCTAGATATGCTTTGCATGGACGACCGTTTGATTGTAAGACACACCTTTAAACCAACTGTTGTTTAAGACACTGACGCTTGTTAATCAAGCGTGCTTAGACTGCTCATGGGAAGTCAGATATGCTTAGGTTTGTTCGGGTGTGCTCAGACGTGGTTAGTCGAGCCAAACAATTCAGTTGTTGTTGTATGCATTCTAATCGTCTGGTGGTCGTTATCATTCTGAAACTTAGGTTCATTCTTTCGACCAAAGTTGTTCTAATGTGTAGTTAACTCTTGCACTTCGCCTCCCTCCCCCCCCCCCGTTCGTTAATTCCTTTCTGGACGTTAGATTTTATTCCACTGAACCACTTCCTGCTTCTCTTGCCTCCCAGCACTCCTGTTCCACTCTCTTAGCTCTTCTACTGTCTCACTCTCCTGTCTCACTCTCCTGTCTCACTCTCCTAGCTCCTCTCCTGTCTCATTTTCCTGTCTCACTCTTCTAGCTCCTCTCCTGTCTCATTTTCCTGTCTCACTCTCCTAGCTCCTCTCCTGTCTCATTTTCCTGTCTCACTCTCCTAGCTCCTCTCCTGTCTCATTTTCCTGTCTCACTCTCCTAGCTCATCTCCTGGCTCACTCTGCTCCCCAATTACCTGGTCATTGCATTTTCATCGGAGCATTACAGAACAAAAAGCCTAATGATGGCCATTCATTTTTAATGAACACAACATGCTCTCCGTAAACCAATTCTACCCTCATTAACTCGTATGTATATATATATATATATATATATATATATATATATATATATATATATATATATATATATATATATATATATATATATATATATATATATAGCTCCTATATTTTGGTAGCAGTCTTTCTTGTAAACATATGTTGTTCAATATGACCGAAAAGGTAAGATTAATAATTCTAACACGAAATTTCTCAATATTTCTTATGTTTTTCTTCACTGTCGATGG